TTAAAAAAGAAATTATACAAATTGGTAAAAATAAAATGGTAAAGAGAACACAGAAACAATGGGCGGTGTAGAATGTTGCAAACTTTTTTTGTTAAAAAAAGCAACGCGCCATGGGATTGCCGGGGGTGGGGGTGGGGGAAGCACATATTAGTGGAGTAGACTACATTGTTACCTCTTCCATTGCATGTGCATACCTATCCTTGAGCTGAGGACACTGAGGAGTGAAAAATGAAGCAAAGGCAACACATTTCCCCCCTGAAGGAAACAACCGGCAAAGCAAATGGTTTAACTAGCACTAAGAGTTTTTTCTGTGCCTCATTCTTTAGAGGGCAAAGTTCCTTCAAGGTCCATTTATTTATTTATTTCATAGAACCATAACATTGCAGAATTGGAAGGGATCCCAAGGGTCATCTAGTCCAACCCCCTGCAAGGTGAAAGCACCTCAGCAAAATCTCAGCAAAAGTATCCATGACTGAAGGCCATGAACTGATTGTTTCCATAATCATTCGTGGCTGCAGCCTTTTCTTTTTTAAAGAAACTTATTTTGGGGAAGCAAACAACACTGAACTCAATGAGGCTTATTTTTGTGTATGCAAGAATTAGAGTGGATTGGTATAAGACTAGAATCCTAACCCCACTTACTTGTGATTGGAATAAGCCCCATTGATGTCAATGGGACTTACTTCTGAGTAGCATGGTTAGAATCGCAGTTTAAGTCTCTTATCTAGTGATCCTATGTTTTCCATGCCAGAGCAATGGGCAAATAACAGCTCCACACATACACCAGGGTCCCAATCCAGATAACCGTTCTCCATAGCTGCTATTTGCAGAAAGGTAGAGAGACACATTTCGTTCACATCTGGTGCGGCCTTAATTCTGTGACCTCAGATAAGTTCAGCTTTGCCTGTAGACATTTGTAGAGTAGAACGACACCTTGCCAAAGCTAGGCAGACACACACACACACACACACAGAGAGAGAGAGAGAGAGAGAGATGGAACAAGTAGTACAGAAGAAGCGTGATAGGGCACTGAATGGAAAAAGAGAATTGTAAAGAGAAGAGAGTCAGGAAGTGGCAGATACCACGGAGAAAGGACAGTAGACCAAGAAACAGAATCATAAACTAGGAAAAGTTTCATTTGGCAACTAAGGATTTTCTTTCGTGCATCTTTTCTATACACAGTACTTCACTGGGCAGGGAAGCAGATTCTGGCCAAATAGGAAGAAAGAAATCAATAGTGGTGCTCCTAAGTTTCAACTTCAGCGTTGAAAGGAGCTTTCTAGCACTGCACCGTGGCTGGGACTTTGGAGACTTGCTGGTTGATTCTTGACTCTGCCCCACAATATGTGCCCATTATGACAAGGACAGAAAGAGGCAAGACAAGAGAACAGAAGCAGAGAGAGTTTCTAGTTATTGCTCAGCAAGTGATTGGCAGCCTTGACCTTTAAGACAACTTGCTTAAAGGTCGATCCGCAGAACACTTGCTGAGCAATAACTAGAACTTGCACCTCCACTTTCCTAAGCTGGTGCCCTGCCCTCTGAACCACAATCTATTTCCAGTTCACTAATTGGCATTGACTCTGCAGAGAAAGGGAGAGTGAGCTAGTGAGACAGAAAGAGATCTTTCCCTTATTAGGAAGCACTCTTATTCTGCAAAGAAAGGAAGGGAGCACCAAGCAGAAAAGCTTGTTTCTTGATGGTCTCTTCCCACAACGTTGAGAGAGAAGAGAGGGGAAATCTAAAGAAAGGAGGCTGAAGTGAAAGGAATAGAGGAATGGGGGGGGGGGGGAGAGAGATGCAAAGGAAATGGAACAAACCTTGATGTTTACTTCCAAGGCAAGTGAGAATCTGCTCAGACTATCCAACTACGGAAAACCACCCATGTCCACTCATTCAGTTCAGTGATACTGAAACAGATAAAAATATAGATGCTTCTAACAGTGCAATGCTGTGCATGTCTACCCAGAAGTAAGTCCCACTGTGTGTTCCATGGGACCTACTTCCAAGTAAGCGTGTATAAGATTGCACTTTAATGTACAAGTGCATTGTTTTTGCTTTGGATTTGTCTAAGATTTCCCCCTGTAATTCATTTTAATCCATTTTATTAATGCAAGTTTCTATCCTATACCATGCCCTAAGGCTCAGGGCATATTTAGGAGATATAAAACAAGAAAAGCAAAATAAAATGTTAACATTAGAGCTAGATCCAGTGAAAGTTGGAGATTCCATAGGGCTCAACACCTCCACCAGTTCAAGCTCTTGGGTACACAAGCACAGCCGCTGCATCTAGATGTCCCTGCAGGAAATGGTAGGTCTATGTGTGCCTGCTGTCCAGCCTTCCCTCTCTGCACCATTCATGAGGGTGGTCCAGAAACTCCTGCTTGTGTGTTCACATGGCAGTCTTTTGGGACCCATCTGTATACAGCTGTTGTGGCCAAATTTGATCAGTCTGAGCCCATATCTTATATAACAGCTGATTACATGTATCTCTTTCCTGCTACAACCAGCTGACACAAACAAGGAAGTCTTCTACCACTTCCAGAAAGTGTTCAGCTTTTGACAGACCTCTGGGCAAGGAAGTTCCTGAATTGAGAAGACGTCACTGACAGTACGTCTCTTGGTGCATGGATTTTACAGTAAAGGTAAGATCTGATGTCATGAAATGGAAGACAGGGGAGAAACTAACCCAGTCTCTCCCACACAGTCAGACTATCCAGGGGTCACTGGCCTTATTACAAATGGTTGGCAAGTCCAGACTCTTGGGCTACTTCCAGTGAGTATGGAACAGAAGAACTCATAATTCTTCATGACATCCCAGAAGGGATGGACTGGGGCACATTCTCAATTCATAAAGTGATAAAGGTAAAGGTAAAGGGACCCCTGACCATTAGGTCCAGTTGTGGCCGACTCTGGGGTTGCAGCACTCATCTCGCTTTATTGGCCGAGGGAGCCGGCGTACAGCTTCCGGGTCATGTGGCCAGCATGACTAAGCTGCTTCTGGCAAACCAGAGCAGTGCACGGAAACGCCGTTTACCTTCCTGCCGGAGCGGTACCTATTTATCTACTTGCACTTGATGTGCTTTTGAACTGCTAGGTTGGCAGGAGCTGGGACTGAGCAACGGGAGCTCACCCCGTCACGGGGATTCGAACCGCCGACCTTCTGATCGGCAAGAACTTCCTGACAGTAAGAGCTGTTCGACAGTGGAATTTGCTGCCAAGGAGTGTGGTGGAGTCTCCTTCTTTGGAGGTCTTTAAGCAGAGGCTTGACAACCATATGTCAGGAGTGCTCTGATGGTGTTTCCTGCTTGGCAGGGGGTTGGACTCGATGGCCCTTGTGGTCTCTTCCAACTCTATGATTCTATGAAGTCCTAGGCTCTGTCGTTTAACCCACAGCACCACCTGCATCCCATCTCATAAAGTGATACTATTACCCCAATCCTCACCTCACGCTTTTCTGGCAAGGACTTTAAAAAAAAAAAAAACTGTTCCTGCCATGGTGTGTGTGTTTGTGATCTATTAAGGTATGTTAAACAAGATTTAGAACTGAGTAGTAATTAAAAATCATCTTCATACAATTTAACTCACTCAAATGATGTACACTCAAGTGCAAGACATTTGTTTGTGTGTGTTTTTTAGAAGTTTTAGAAGCCAATATTTAATGGAAATGTATTGAATAACTGGATTGCTTAAAACTGTCCCAGACACTGGGGGTGGGTGGGTTGGGGGGAACCTTGCCATCATCTGTAATCCACCTTAAGACATGACACAGCTCCTCTTCTAATAACAACTTGAATTGAAACATGAAGAAATCAAGAGATCAAAACTCTTTCCGTGCTGCTTGCATACAGCTACTACTGACAGCCATTTTAGAAGTCTTAGCTAAAACCATCAATATGAAAGCACATCAGCGTGCTATATTTTGAATAGTAGCAGCAATGAGATTTCTGAGTTGTTGCTCTCTCCCCATCTTTTTGGTGCAACTGGTTCTAATGAAGACCTGAGCTATATTACAAATTCAAGAGGTCCTACTAATCCTCAACTTCTGTTTGCCAGTGGCTTCGGGAATATTCCCTTGCTCCAATGGTTGATCCTCAGCAGGCACTGGATTAGCAACATCAGAGCCTGCAGATGTGCATTGTTCCCCATTAGTCTCGGACTGAGCCTGGTGTCACGTCCTCTTCTTAAGGAACCTCCAAGGCTAAGTCAGTGAACCAATACTAATGATCCCAGACTGCCAGAGACACATCAGAGTCTGCACACGTAATGGCCAAGGTCTTTTTGTTTCAGTTAGCTATTTAACGTTCATCGTAAGCCTTAGACCACTTACTCCCATCATTGCATAAGTTGCTGGATTCTTCACACCATTTCCAAGAAATCCACGCTTGAATATCCTTCCCTCAGTTTTCGCTTTTGAATTCTTTACCAGAAATCACAGACAAAGCTTATTCTCTCTCACATGTGCAGGCATGTTCACAAGCACCCGTAAAATAAGGAATGGCTAAACCGGAGTATCAATAGATGAGTGTTCTGTTATAAATAAATATGTTGCAGGTATTGAAAAGGAGAGCAGAATTCATTTAAAATTCTCTGTTGCACTTCACTCTCACCGAACTACTAAAACAACCTGTACCCAGTCTATCTTCACCTTCACATTTGCCTAATGATCCCCACTATTCATGTTAGGCTGCCAGGGACTGAGAGTAATCTTTCTATGGTGGCATATATCCACTTTGAAAGTCACTCGATAGAGAAATATGTTTATGTTCTTCTTCACACTCCTTCAGATGACAAATTAATACTTTTTTTAAGAGAGACAGAAAAAGTAAAAAACCATATAATGCTTGGTGATTTCCTGACTGTGCGCATTGTACAATATGGTGCAGTTTTTTTCTTTTGAATGTGGTTTTATTGTATAACCAGCATTTCAGAGTAACAAACTGTTTCAGAAGTCAGGTAAGTAGCCATGTTGGTCTGGTGCAGTTGAAATAATAATTTAAAAATGTCCAGTAGCACCTTATAGACCAACTAAGTTTGTTCTGGTATAAGCTATCTGAAGAAGTGTGCATACATACGAAAGCTTTATACCAGAACAAACTTAGTTGGTCTATAAGGTGCTACTGGACAATTTGTTATTTTTATTTATTTTTGTTTCAGAAGTGAGAGCAAGAGAGAGCCAATGATAAAGAGGATACTACCTGCTGTATCAGCACTGATTGTCATCAAAGGGGGTGCTAAGTCGACTGTGGATTCACTGCAAGCACATGAGCCACATACATCTCCTGCTTGTGTCTCAGCATCTTCAGCAGATAATGGAGTGAAAATGGTGAAGATGCGTAATTATGCCTAATGCAGTCTGAGCAATTGGGATAAAAGTACATCAGTATTACGCTAGATAAACTATCATGAACCATGCTTATGCTCATTTCTCTGTTGTGCTGTGTATGAGTTCAGATGCCATCTTCAGAATTTCACTTTCATGCCTCTGTGTCTCTGGTAGCTGCTGCTGCTGCATGCTTGCCAGCTGACAAACACTAAAACCAGCTACATTACCAAACTCTTTTTGCCAAGGTACTCCGGAAATGAGTAGCTCACCTTGGCATGCATTGTTCCTGAGCAGCAAAAAGTTTTGCACTATACTATTCCCTGTCCCGTGGACGCGGGTGGCACTGTGGGTTAAACCACAGAGCCTAGGACTTGCCGATCAGAAGGTCGGCGGTTCGAATCCCCGCGACGGGGTGAGCTCCCGTTGCTCAGTCCCTGCTCCTGCCAACCTAGCATTTCAAAAGCACGTCAAAGTGCAAGTAGATAAATAGGTACTGCTCCAGCGGGAAGGTAAATGGCGTTTCTGTGTGCTGCTCTGGTTTGCCAGAAGCGGCTTAGTCATGCTGGCCACATGACACGGAAGCTGTACGCCGGCTCCCTCGGCCAATAAAGCGAGATGAGCGCCGCAACCCCAGAGTCGGTCACGACTGAACCTAATGGTCAGGGGTCCCTTTACCTTTACCTATTCCCTGTCCCTAGGTCAATAAAAGACAAACTCCCACAATGCCTTGGAGGAGGTGCCACTGGTGGATATGGCATAGGGATAGGAACCCATAACAGGGCCTGCTCCGTGGTTGCTCCCAGGGTGTGAAGCTCCTTCCCCGGTGAAGTGCATTTATTCCTTACCCTGCCATCATTCAGATTACGTCTAAGAACATTTTATTCACCCTGAAATTTAATACTTGAAGGGTAGTATGCTTAGGTATTTTTTGTGGTTTAATTGTTTTTTTCACATTTGTAGTGTTTTCTTTTATGTCATGAATACTGTATGTCTGCCCTGGTCTGCTTCAGGATGAAGGGCAGCTAAAAAAAACACCAATTCAATAAAGGATTATTTTCATTTCAGCCAGTTGTGACACAGTAGGATGGCCAAGCAACTGAAAGTTCCCTCAGAGCTACTCTGTCACTCAAGCTCCCCTCAAGGTTCCCCATACCTGCCGACAGGATGTGGACGGCACAGGGTGGGAAATCAAATAGCATCCCGTAAAAACAATACATGTCTTATTCAGTGCTATCATCACCTTTGGGGCCGCTCGGCCATGTTTGCATGCATCATAGATTAGGATATTAAAGAACTCCTCTAGTTTAGATAGATTATTAAAATATAATTGAGAGTAAGACCTGCTTTTCTGTAAGAAGCAACACTGTGAACTTCCCATTATTATGGCCTTGTTCTTCTCAGGCCCAGTGCTTCAGAAAGTGTTCTTCTGCATGTCCTGTTGCCATACGTGTCTCAAAGGAGATTAGCAATTTTCAGAAGTTCAGTACAAAAAATTCATGTTGCAGAACTCCTATGAACTCTTCTGGGTTTGTCAGTCTGTTTACATGGATTTTAATGTGGTGTTTAGAGCAAGAAATTTCACTTTAATTGGCTTTGCTCCCAGCTATTTAAGCAATGTGCTGAACTGTCTATCATCTCCCTTGGACCACCACAACAGCTTCTGCTCAGCATTTTCATTTATCTGTAGCAACAGTTTATCAAACCACTTTCCATTTCAAAACCCCATTGCTAATTTTTGTTGTTTGTAAGCTGGAGAAGTTGGCCACAATCCAAAGCAATACTTTCATACATGCCCAAGGACCTGAGCACATGAAGCCACAGACTTCCACACCACATCATCCTATTCTCATCTTGCTGCGTTCTCTTTGGGTTTCAAAAACAGTGCAGGTTAGGGCTGCTTCTGACATGATGCTTCTATGACAGGAATAGAAATGGAACTCCAACTAAAAGCACCAACTTCACAATTAAGAGCAATGATAGGGACATACCCTTTGAGGCAGGGATGGGTAGACTTCAGGTCTGAGGAATTTCCTTTACTAAAACCTTCAAGGTCCACCAATCAGAGCTAGGTGCAAAAAGCATGTGCTTAGAATTGAGGAATCCTGAGCCCAGGAAAACATTTTGAGTACTAAACCTGAACAGAGCTCATAGTCATTGAAAACAAAAACTCACACTTAAGGCAAGCTTTCTTCTTTTCAGCTGCATGATGGGGTTGAGGAGGTCATTTTGTTTCTGTTACTGATAAATAATTTTGAGTCATAAATTCCTGCTGATCTTGTGAAAATCATCCAGAGGTCTACAAGGAAATCCAGATCTACCTTCTGTCTACCTCTGCTTGAGGTAGACAGTGTGTGTGAGTGGCATTCTGCACAGCTTTTGAGGGAAGTATTGTAGCACAGCTGATGTTTTTATGCGAGGTAAGATGCCTATCTCATTTTATTAGCAGGAGATGCAATTAATTATGATTTATTCGTGTGGAAATTGTATCTGAATATTGATTTCTTATGAACAGTATTTAATTCTAAAATAAATCCTCTAAGAACCATGATAAACTTAGCCTAGCAGGGAACTCATGAGCACACACCCCCTTGAAAGGGCAGTCCATGCACCTTGGCTGCTGCCACCAAGTGTCACAAAAGGAAACAATAATTGCACTTCAGCCTGCTGGGGGATTGTTTAACTGTGAAAGTCCTCTGGAATCCCCAGGCTCACAGCAAGCTTTGAAAGTTGGGCAAACAACATTACAACTTGAGGGAAGGTTTTGAAACTGTGAGGCAGCATAAAAGTCTGGTAGAGCTGGGATTTGACCAAGTCTAGCCACCATCCAGCTCTGCTGTCATCAGCTGAGAAGTTTCTCTGCAGGGAGGAAAAAGGAAAGGATATTATGAGCTAATATTGTGTGGCCTACTGTTCAGTGTTAATTATACATTATTATTATTATTAGCAAAAATTCAGCACAATTTTCAAGAAGTTGTTCTTTGCCTCAGAGTTTGTGGCCTTAGGATATTAAGTGCTGCGCCCCACCACCACATTACATATCCTGTGGTCCTAGTGATGAAAGCAAGCATTAAGTCATTCTGGCAGTGTTAATTCTGAGAGTGTTGTTTCTAACTCTTGAAATCTTAGACTCTTACATGCAAGGGTTTACATACCTTGTTATCGTTTCGCTTTCGTTTGCCTTCCACATAATGAGAACCAGTGTAGCATTCATCAGAAAGCGGACTGTGCCTCCCTTGAGAAATCCCTCGTTCAAATCTCACCCCAGCCATGGGATCACTGGGCAGCCTCAGGCAGGCTATTATTCTCTCAGCTACAGCCACTCACCAGCAATGTGGGGATGATAATAATACGGGCACAACATATAGGGTTCGTGGTGAGATTACTGAGATAATGTATGTGAGGCATTTGTTTCATCTCTCTATCTGTTTGTCATAATTTCATCCAGTCTTTCCTCTGAGGACCTCAAGGCAGTGCCATTATCCCATCTTATCCTCACAGCAGCCCTGTGAACTATATTAGGCTAAGAAATTATTTCTGTGGCTGCATGAAGATTTGAACCCAATTCTCATTATCTGATCTTTTGTCTAATGCACCTCACACTTTAATGTGTGATACAAATGCTTAGCATTACTACCGTACTCATGGCCTAGAGGTAGTCCTTTGATGTGTCCTCTTCTTGTCAAGAAACTACATAACAACAAATTCTGTTACAAACCATGCACTTAAATACTAAGTCCCAAAAATGTCTAGCTATGGAATTCCACCATCCACAACTGACCACTTGCCTAAAACTCTTCACATTAGGGAAAGCAGACCTTGCTAACCTCTTTTATTGTTATGTGAGAAATCCCAACTCCTGACCTCATACAGTGAAACATCAGTAGTTTTAACAGGTTGGCAAGGCAGGGACAAAGTGTGCTAAACCCCTGGAGGATGCAAATGTCTGGTTAGCCAACTAGAGAGCAGCTTGACATTTCCATGACCACTGCCACTACTTATTTTCCCTTAATAGTACTGTCATAGGGCTAACTCAGGCAGAAAGGGTTGCTGTGATCTTCCCTTGGTAGCTTAGGATAGCCAAGAAGAAGAAGAATTTCCATAACTTTTTGCCCAACCATTTTTGCAACTAGACTTGATTTGTTTGAAAATCATCATACCAAATTAATACTTCAATATTGCTCCACTAGGACAAGAAACTGAACCGAGGAACTCAAGTATCAATTATATAAATAAAAGACGCCTGCTTCTTGGAAGAAAAGCAATGACAAACCTAGACAGCATCTTAAAAAGCAGAGACATCACCTTGCCAACAAAGGTCCGTATAGTTCAAGCTATGGTTTTCCCAGTAGTGATGTGTGGAAGTCAGAGCCGGCCCATAAAGAAGGCTGATCGCTGAAGAATTGATGCTTTTGAATTATGGTGCTGGAGGAGACTCTTGAGAGTCCCATGGACTGCAAGAAGATCAAACCTCTCCATTCTGAAGGAAACCAGCCCTGAGTGCTCACTGGAAGGACAGATCCTGAAGCTGAGGCTCCAAGACTGTGGCCACCTCATGAGAAGAAAAGACTCCCTGGAAAAGACCCTGATGTTGGGAAAGATGGAGGGCACAAGGAGAAGGGGATGACAGAGGACGAGATGGTTGGATAGTGTTCTCGAAGCTACTAACATGAGTTTGACCAAACTGTGGGAGGCAGTAGAAGACAGGAGTGCCTGGCGTGCTCTGGTCCGGGGGGTCACGAAGAGTCAGACACGACTAAATGACTAAACAACAACAAAGATGTTTTTATAACAGTTATTTGTT